CCAAGTCACCCTTTATTTAGACATGGAGAATCCCTGACAATGATCCAACTTCTTCAGAGCCAGCTCTCAGAGTGACCAGGATGTCTAACACTCGTGTGCTTATCTGCTAGACAGGGCTCCCTGATTGGACCAAGTTAACAGCCCAAATCAGGGAACTCATATTCTATGAGGGCTGCCTGGCTGACCTTGTTACAATCACTACAGTCCCACTCCCAGAACAACTCGTCAATTAGCAGATATCCACTGAACGACCAGCATCCTTTGCAGCTAGGCCATCTTTGTAGGGCACTGCACAAGCATTGGCATCCAGCATTGCCCCTTCACTGGCATTGTTATGGCACAGCAGCAAAACCACACTGCCCACAGCACATAGTCAACATGGCTGATATGCCTTTGCATGTACAACCCCATTTTCTCACCCAGTTATCCTTCAACTACCAGACCACACATTTTATTTGTCTGTATCTACACCCCATCTGAACACCCTCTAAGTCAGCATTATTCTGACCCTGGTGCTCACTGTTAGAACACACATCCTGTCATTGTCCAGTGGCAGATCATCACTCTGGCAAGCAATTGGACAATCACAGAAAGCAAAAGGGAGACAAACAAAGCCAATAGAAGCAGAAGTTCATTCTGACAATACAAACCAGATTGTGGCATCATGACTAAAGATTAATTTACAGTTTACAGTTGTCCTGCAGCCAACTCTTATCTGCTGGAGCCGGGTGTCAATCAGGTCCCTGTCTGGGCTTGTAGTGCCTGACACCGCTGAGCTCTGTCATGGACAAGGAATGGTTTCTCCTCCCAGTGTGCTGATCCTCCTCCTTGGAAAACTGCACTTGCTCCCCCATGTCCTCTGCACCCAGGGTGTTGCCTCATTGCTTGTTCCAGTTGTTCAGAGTGCAGCACACTAGGACGACTACAAATTATGTGTTTTTTGAACAAAATAGAATGTACAGTATCTGCAAATAGACAAACATCTTGGATGAAATAATTCACCCCATAGATTTATGTGCGTGCACGTGTGTGTGTGTGTGTGAGATAATGATGAGCATTTCACCAAGATCTTCCTACGCCTCCTCTTCTTGCCTTCAAACAACCGCCACACCTTAAACAGACCATTGTTCACAGCTAACTACCCAGCCTTCAGGACAACATTTACCACAACACCATACAACACTGCCATGGCAACCTCTGCAAGACATGTCAGATTGTCGACATGCATACTACTGTCACACATGGAAACACCATCACCATGTTCACGGCAGATATTCATGTGATTCAACCAATGTTGTTTATCTCATATGCTGCGGGCAAGGATGCCCTGAGGCATGGTATATTAGTGAGACCAAGTAGATGCTATGACAATAGATGAATAGACATGGTGCAAACATCACCAGACAGGAATGTTCCCTCCCATGCAGGGAACACTTCAGCGGTCAAGTCTCCGATGATCAGGTAAGTGTCCTCCAAGGCGGACTTCAGGATACACAACAACGTAGAATTGCCGAGCACAGACTGATAGTCAAGTTCTGTACGCATGACAACTGCTTCAACCATGATCTTGGGTTCATGTCGCACTACAGGTGACCCCACGACACTGTTCTGTATCTGTAAAATCTTCGTTATTTTCCTGTTTTGACAGGATCTTCTCTCTCTCTCTCTCTCTCACACACACACATACACACACATATATAAATCTATGGGGTGAATAATTTCATCCAAGATATTTATCTATTTGCAGATACATTCTATTTTGTCCAAGAAACACACAATTTGTAGTCACAGTTAGTCAGTGTACCATTTTATAAATTCCTGCTTTCGGAATAAAACCAGCCTGATTCCAGGTTAGAACTTGGAGACTGATTCTGAACGAGGCCTCACATCTACAAATCAGTATCTGACCTGAGATGTCACCTTTTGTATTTCTGCCTGATTGAAGTTTGGAAAGTTAGGCAGACACTGATAAAACCTTTAATTATCTTGGGGCAGTGACTGGAAACTGATTCTGGAATTTACATCTCAGTCAATCGAAGCGTGTGTCTCCTTTCTAACAGAGTTCTCCATCAGCCATTTTATGTTTGTTCACTCCATTCACACCAGTTGTATGATCCTTTGATCTCTCCGCCTATAAACTCTGTGTCTGTTTGCCCTCTCTCACTGCACCTGACAAAGGAGTGCTGCTCCGAAAGTTTGAGATTTCAAATAAACCTGTTGGAACATAACCTGGTGTTGTGTGATTTTTGACTTTGTCCACTCCAATCCAACACCGGCACCTCCACATCACAGAAAGCTGTTGGGGTCAGTTCTTTAGATGTATTCAAGAGGGAGCTCAATGTGGCTCTTGTGGCTGAAGGGATCAAGGGGTATGGATAGAACGCAGGAATGGGACACTGAAATTGCATGATCAGCCATGATCATATTGAATAGTGGTGCTGGCTTGAAGAGCCAAATGGCCAACTCCTGCACCTATTTTCTATGTTTCAACACGTTGGAACATATGAACAAGGAACGTGAGGAGGCCATTCAGCCCTTCAGCTTGTTCCGCCATTTAATAAGATCATGGTGGATCTGATTGTAACTTCAAATTCACATTTCCACCCAGCCTAATAACTATTTACCTCCCCACTCACCAGGAATATATCAACCTCTGCCTTCAAAATATTCAAAGGGCAGAATCTTTCCAGTACCTCACAGAGTCACAGAGATATACAGCACGGAAACAGACCCAACATTCCAGCTCATCCATGCCGACCGAATATCCTATATTAATCTAGTCCCATTTGCCAGCATTTGGCCCATATCCCTCTGAATCCTACCTATTCATATACCCATCCAAATGCCTTTTTAAATGTTGTAATCGTCGCAGCCTCTACCACTTCCTCTGCCAGCTTATTCCATATACACACCACCCTCGCGTGAAAAAGTTGCATCTTTTTATATCTTTCCCCTCTCATCTTAAACCTATGCCCTCTAGTTTTGGACTCCCCTAACCTGAGGAAAAGACCTTGCCTATTTACTCTATCCATGTCCCTCATGATTTTATAAACCACCATACGGTCACCCCTCAGCCTCTGACACTCTAGGGAAAACAGCCCCAGCCTATTCAGCCTCTCCCTATCGCTCAAACCCTCCAATCCTGACAACATCCTTGTATATCTTTTCTGAACCCTCTCTAGTTTCACAACATCCTTCTTATAGGAAGGAGACCAGAATTGCATGCAATACTCCAAAACTGGCTGAACCAATGTCCTGTACCGTCACACCATGACCTCCCAACTCCTATACTCAACGCACTGACCAATAAAGGCAAGCATACTAAATGCCTTCTTCACTATCTATTTGCGATTCCACTTTCAAGGAACTATGAACCTGCACTCCAAGGTCTCTTTGTTCAGCAACACTCCCCAGGACCTTATCATTGAGTGTATAAGTCCTGACCTGAACAACTTGGGCAATGGCAAGAAAGTTGAGCGTGTTGATCTAGTTCTACATTCTCTCACAGGGGATAATATGCTCTCCAGATTTACCCTGTCAAGACTCAATAGGGTTTTATACGTTTTAATCAAATCACCTCCTACTGTCCTTAACTTCAGCGGTACAAGCCTAACCTATCCAATCTTTCTTTATAAGGCAACACACCCACTCCAGGTATTAGTCTGGTAAACCTTGGAATCCCTATAGTGTGGAAGCGGGCCATTCAACCCATCAAGTCCACACTGACCCTCCAAAGAGTATCCCCACCTATTCCACCCTATCACTGTTTCCCATTGCTAATCCACCTAGCCTGCACATCCCTGGACGACACTATGGGCAATTTATCATGGGCAATCGACCTAACCTGCACATCTTTGGACTGTGAGAGGAAACCAGAGCACCCAGAGTAAACCAACGTAGATACAGGGAGAATGTGCAAATCCCAGTTAGTCACCTGAGTGTGGAATTGAACCTGGTTCCCTGATACTGTGAGGCAGCAATGCGAACCACTGAATCACCATGCCACCCCAAAAAAAAGAGAAACCTTCTCTGAACTGTTTCCAATGCATTTACATACTTCCCTAAATTGTGTGATCAATACTGTACATAGCATTTCAGATGCGGTCCCACCTGAGCCCTGTATAGCTGATGCATAACATCCCTACTTTTGTATTCAATTCCACTCGCAATGAATGATACCATTTCATTAGCTGTCGTAATTACTTGATGTACCGCCGTACTATCTCTTATGCAATTCTCATACACTGGGACTCCCAGATTCCACAGCATTGCAGAGCCCTGCAATCTCTCACCACTTAATTAATATGTTCCTTTTTTTATTATACTTACCAAAATGAACAACTGCATTTTTTCCCACATTAGACTCCATTTGCCATAATCCAAGCTGCTCCCCCAAGGTGTGCTTGATATCCCAGGCTTAGAGCTGGATTGAGTTCTACAGAGAATTCAAACCTATAAAGGAGAATAGTTCTGTGGAACTGTAAGCCTTCTTTCCTTTCTATTTTTAATCTGCCCAAAAGAGTTGTTCGGAACAGACTTAATTTAAGTGACATTGCCTAGACATCCAGAGATGCAAATCACCCCAGTTGAACAATTCAGTACAGATTCTGCTCCTTTGCCTGTTTTCTAATTAATTACCTCAACTCCTAAAAGAATTACAGATTTCGCTTGGTTACTGGTGAGTGGCAAGTATTCTACAGTTTAACCATCCTCAGTATAGGAACCAATCTTTTTTTAGTTCATCACACAATCTCATCAGGTTTTACTCCCAAAGAGTTAAAATACGTAAAGATACACTGAGTATGATAATTTAGTTTGTAACTAAAGCCTTGGCTGAGGTAACAAAGGTGATACCGACACCTGGTTAGTTGAGGCATTCCATCACTGTAACAAGAAATGAATTGTGTCAATTTGTTAAATTTAATAGCTTATCTTTTTGAACTCATTTAACTCGGCTGTAATAGAAATTAAAAGCAGTGACAAAGTGAAATGCAACTTACCCTAAAAGTTCAAAGGAAATACATAGATGGTTTCTGAAGTAAAAATATTCTTTCATATGAATAACATTATTACTTCCGTCTTTGTCCTTCTTATGCAGGATATCTAATATCTTCAGTTCCACAAAAGCTTGTTGCTGAATCCTATTTTAAAAGTATAAACATGTATACAATGGTTCATATTTATACATTTTATTGAGCAATAGTTATGTATGTGGTTCTTTGTAACTGAAATTTTATCTGCAATTCTCATGCCCAGTACAGGCCCAAAGCTAGCACAAATTTTAAAACTCTATTTTAAAAAGTGAACATAAAAGCTGACTGCATGTGACTTTTGCAGTATTAGCTCCAGGCATTCCCGATACTCAAGAAAATACCCAACAATACATGGCCATTCACAGTCATCTAGGAAATTTACACATCCCTTTGGTTAGAATAGACTGTCGACAAGAATAGTCATATACCACCCAACTAGTCTTTCTGCTTCATTGTTGACAAAGGAACAATCAAAACTCAATGGGTGTTAGAGGAATGTGGATTGGATTCCACTGATCTGTCATTGTATTATGATACCCCCTCATTGAAATGCAAACAGGCTGGCTGTCTCAATCTCTTGAAGTGTAAAAAGTAAAATGTTCATCGGCCTAATGCACCTGCTGATTTGGAAAAGAGTGTCAGACTTGTAACATGTCACATGGGTAAGACAGCCATGTTTGCCACCTGCTTCTAAATTACATCCAAAGCTGTTCTGAGTCAGAAAGACCATCATGGCAAAACAATTATACAGCCAAGGTAATAAGTAGCACGACCTCGAAAATAGAAGAATTCTCCAAACAATTCCAACTTCAAGTCATCTGAGTACCATTATCCCTACAATTAAAGCAAAAGAAGCCTCACAACTTACTGAGTATCTTCAACTTTTCAAGATCTTCACTCAAGCTAAAGCAATAGCTTATCTAAGAAACAATAGGCCTGCGACAAATAAAACTGAAATAATTCCAAATTGTTTAATCATATTATTTTTGTCATCATCTGTATCCAATAATTGTGACAGTGATAATGTGTGTGAGTTGAGTGAGTGAGACATTAAGTGTTTACAACCTTTGGGAAAAGAGTGGGATAGCAAATAACCTTTTTAAATTCACAAAGCTTATACTTCAGTTGGGCCTCTCTCACTGTGGAGGTTAGAATATACACTTATCTTGAATGTAAATATGTTTTGATCACAGGCAGTAAAGCGAAAACATATTCTGTGACAATGTTATAATTGAAGTGCAGTGACAGAATTTAGTTGACAATAATTTGCTGCAGTCTAAAACTCCGCTTTGCAAGTTTTGGTTTTGCTTTATCCCACTCATGCTCTTTTACTTGAAGATGTTAGGGAACAGTCCAAAAAGTACTACACATCTCGAATAAGAAAAATTGCACTCTTCAGTGTAAGCAGTCTTAAAAGGTGGACTAATGAAGTTCTGGAACAATGCAGGGCACATGTAGTAAAGGATAGGTATAGTAGGGAGTGTGGAGTAAAAGGTTAGGAGAGGAAAAAGGTAAAGGAGGATTGCAGCAATGAGAGGCTAATGTGAAAATAGAACAGGGTGGAGGTAGGTAGGACAGAGGTAGAGGCAGGAGAACAGGAGGGTAAGATGCAAAAGGGTGTTGTTAAGTATTGCAACAAGGACAAACACAGAAACATTGAAAACAGAAGCAGAAGTAAGCCATTCGACCTTTCATGCCTCCTCTGCCATTCAATATGATCATGGCTGGTCATCCAACTCAGACCCTGTTCCCAATACCCTTTGATCCCTTTACAGCTTCTGATGTAATTTAAAAGTAGGTGGAAATATGTCTAATTCCCTCTTGAAAATATTCAATGTTTTGGCCTAAATTGCATTCTGTGGCAGAGAATTCCATAAACTCAACATTCACTGAGTGGAGAAATCTCTCATGTCAGTCCGAAATGGCCTACACTAGGGGAAATGATGGCCTAATGGTATTAACACAAGATTATTAATTCAGACACCCAGATAATGTTCTGTGATTATGGGTTCAAATCCTGCCATTGCAGATGGTGGAATTTGAATTAATTTTTTTTAAATCTGGAATAAAAACTCTAATAATGACCACAAAACCATTGCCAATTGTCAGGAAAAGCCCATGCCGTTCACTAATGTCTTTTACGGAAGGAAATTTGCCATCCTTCCCTAGTCCAGCCTACATGTGACTACAGACCCACAGCAATGTGGTTGACCCTTAACTGCCCTCTCGAATGAGCAATAAATGTTGGCCTAGCCAGTGACGCCTACATCCCATGAATGAATAGAAAATACCTGTAACTTTAGATATGATCCATAGCTCTGGACTCCCTGGTCATCAGGAACATTGTGTTTTCCCTCTCTGGTGCTGTTAAAAGATACCCCTCATTCTTCCGAACTCCAGTTAATATAGTCCTAACTGAACCAATCTCTCTTCAGACATCAGTCCTCCCATCCCTGGAATCAATCTGGTAAACATTTATTGCACTGCCTCCATAGCCAGAACATCCTTCCTCAGATAAGGAGACCAAAACTGAACACAATACTCCAGGTGTGGTCTTATCAAAACCCTGTACAATTGCAACAAAAAAAAAATGCCCCTGTATTCAAATCTTCTCGCTATGAAGGTCATACTATTCACCTTCACTGCCTGCTTACTTACAACAACAGATGTACAAGGACACCCAAGGTCTCATTGCATCTCCCCTTTCCCAATTTATCAGATAGTAACCTGCCTTCCTGATTTTGCTACCAAAGTAGATAGATTCACATGTTTCCACATCATACCTCATCTGCCATGTATTTACCCAGTCACTCAACTTGTCCAAATCACCGTGAACCATCTCTGCATCCTCCTCACAGTTCACCCTCCTACCCAATTTTGTGTTGACTGAAGAAGGAAAGAAAGAATGATAAGGAGTAAAGAGGGAACGAAGAATTGAAAACAGTATGAGAATAAGGAGAGGAAGAAGAGAGAAGAATGGTGCAGCAAAAGAAAAATTTTGTGATCTGATTGAGATGTAAGGTAGTTTGAGAGAGGACAGCAGAGCAATATTGTGTAAGAAAACAACACCGTGTGCCATGAAGGATCCCTACAATAAGGTACAAAAAGTGCAGAAGGTATTAATGGGTTATTTTGAGTGGTATTCAAGCTTGGGACAGCAGCAAGACAGTAAGAAAATAGAAGAATAGTGATAACTTAGAGCAGGGATTAGGTCAGGTAGTCAAAATTTGTACGTGAATGGACATAGAGGGAATTGAAGAATCATCAGCATGACATTTTGCAGCTGTTTCCCCTAGGATAGAGAGTGTTGCAAATGTCAAAATAATTAAAGGAACGAGTAGTAGTAATACCATACAGAATAAATGTAGATAAAGAGGAGGTTATTAAAAAGTTGGCAGGCCTCAAAATAAAAATGTCACCTAGTCAAAATGGGATGCAATAAAACAGAAGATGCTGCAGAAACTCAGCAGGTCTGACAGCATTTCTGAAATGAGAAATAGAGTTAATATTTTGAAGAGTGGGTCCATTTCTTCAACTCCACATTCCACCCTTTCTGTGGTGGATAGGATTCTCAACTGTATTCCCACCCATTTCCCACACTGCTGTGCTCAGTCTTTCTTTTCCATTCCAGAACTGCAATAGGGATCCCCTTGTCCTCACTTTCCAACTCACCAGCCTCCACATTCAAAGAATCATCCTTCACCATTTCTGTTACCTTCAGCATGATGCCACCACCAAATTCATCTTCCCCTCCCCTGCCTGTCAGAGCTCTGAAGGAACTTCCTTCCAAAGACAACCTGGCCCATTCCTCTATCACCCCCAATACCTTAATCCCAGCTGGAGGCACCGTCCCATGCAATCAAAGGAAGTGCAACACTTATTTTTACCTACTCCCTCCATACTGTCAAAGGCACCAAACACTCCTTCCAGGGCAAGCCGTAACTTGCCAATATGTCTTTCAATTTTTCTACTATATTTTTTGCTCACAATGTGATCTCCTTTACATTAGAAAGATCAAAAGTAGATTAAGTGACCAATTTCTGGAACACCTCTGCTCAGTGCATAAGCATGAACCTCATAAGCATGACCCTTGCCATTTCAATATGCCATTGTGCAGTCATGCACACACATTTTAGTCCCCCTTCCTGTTGCAGTGTTCCAGTAAAGCCCAATGCAAGCTGGAGAAATGGCACTTTATTTTTCACTTAGGCACTTAGCCTTCTGGACTCAATACGGAGTTAACAGCTTCAGAACATGACATGCATGTGGATTGTCATAAGTTGTGTGTTAAAGTACCATGTAACAAACCTGTAAAGCAACAGGAGCAGTGTAGATACACAATTGCTTGAAGGACAGAAAGCAGTGGTGTAGAAATTATTCAAAATGGAGGGAAATATACCCTGGTGTTCTTCAGTGGTCCACACCCATTTTGATATGTATATTAATTTCCTGAACCCAAGGCAAAGTTTACAGATGACATGAAACTTAGAAATATAGGAAATAATCAGAAGCATAGCAACAAACCTCAGGAAGACATAATGTAAAAGCAGAATGCTCTGGATACTGGAAATCTGAGATAAAACCAGAAAATGCTAGAAAGCACTCAGCAGGTTTTAACATCAATCTGTTCAGATGTGTTACATCTCTGATACACCTCTGGAACAGGCGGGTCTTAAACCCAGGACTCCTAGACCTGAAACACTGACTACTTCTCTCTCTACACAGATGCTGCCAAACCTGCTGAGTTTTTTGCAATGTTATGTTTTATCTGAGGAAAATATAGATAGACTGGTAAAATGGGAATATTTGTGGCCCCCCACAGCCAAATTTCAATGAGGAGGAAATATAAAAAAAATTATATTTTAAGTAGTTGCAGGAACAAAGAGACATATGGATGGAAGGACAAGTTGGGAAGACTATTAAAAAAGCAAATGGATTCATAGCATTATTAATAGAAGCATCAAGTCCAAAAGCAAGGAATACTGATTCTTAACAAAACAATGTTTAGGCAATCAGCTGCGAAACAGATGAGCAAAATTGGCTTGTCCTCCTTAGGAACTTTTGTACCCAGCAGCACCTCTGTAGAGGCAGTGGCTGCTGCTAGAACTGCATCACTCGCAATCTCAGATCAAGTTCAGACCAGACACAGGTCAGTGATGGCAGGAGGGGTTTTGTGAGGAAACGACTCAGGTTGGCCAGCATCAAGGGAAGGGAAGAAGCTTTGAGCAGACCACACCCCTCTTTCCAATGCTGGGTCCCCTAATGAGGCACAGCCTTTGAACAAAGCAACCTCTGCCCCAGTTCTCCACAAGTAAACAACCAGTATGCCTGTAGTAACAGCAACTGACTTTCTAACTCCAGGAACAGGAATGCAGGAACCAATCTGGGGTGCACTGCACTAATGCAAATGACTTGAACCCAAAAAACACAGATAAGTTCCAAAAATATGTAGCAAAGTGGGCTTTGGATGTTGTCTCCCTCATTACATTTCCAGCTCCTGGGAATTAAATAGAAACAATACCATATGGAAGGACAGATAATGGGACTGTAGAAGCCAAATAAGTAAAAGAAATTTTCTTCGCTGGAAAGACAAGACAAATGTAAAAAAAAATGCAATTTACATTGTTGCAAGAGTATTTACCTGTGACAAGTAAAACTTCCTTTTATGTTTTATAATTAGTTCGATCTTTATGTTTTGTAATGAGTTATATTGTTATACCAACTGTATTTTTTATTATATTTACTTCAGAACTCAACAGCATCCTGTTTAGCAAAGTTATTAATATAAGTAGTGGAGGATTGTCCTTTTATTCAAGCTTGGAGGGAGATCCTAAATTTTGATATCATTTACTGAAATTTATAAGGCTAAAAACATAATAATGAATGTTTTAAACTATTGCATACTAAATTAATTAAATTAAATATAAAACTACTTCTGTGGGTCATTAATGACTGCTTCATTAATGCCCTCATTTAAAGTCTTTTCCCTTTCAAAAGTCTGCCATTGCATGTTTTCTTTGGCCCGTCATTTTATCTATGGGAGTTGCTGTTATCTAAGTCCATGTGTGTCCCAGTTTCCAACATCCACCAATTAGTAGAATTAACTGAATACAAGGTGACAGATGTATCTGAGCATAAAATGACATGCAACTCACTTCTTTTTATTCCTGATTATCTTGATAGCCACAAGTTCATTTGCTTTATGGTCCATACATTTTACCACTTGTCCAAAGGATCCTTTACCTATCACTTCAAGAATTTCATACCGGTATGCAATATGGTCATTCAATACCTAAACATAGAAGCAAGAGCATTTTTAGAGTCATAGAGTCATAGAGAGGTACAGCACGGAAACAGACCTTTCGGTCCAACTCGTCCATGTTGACCACATATCCTATATAAGTCTAGTCCTATTTGCCAGCATTTGGCCCATATCCCTCCAACCCTTCCTATTTATATACCCATCCAGACGCCTCTTAAATGTTGTGATCATACCAGCCTCCACCACTTCCTCTGGCAGCTCATTCCATATACACACCATCCTCTGTGTGAGAAAGTTGCATCTTATGTCCCAATTCTATCTCTCCCCTCTCACCATAAACCTATGCCCTCTACCTTCGGACGTCCCCACCCCAGGGAAAATACCTTGCGTATTTACCCTACCCATGACCCTCATGATTTTATAAACCTCTATAAGGTTACCCCTCAGCCTCCGATGCTCCAGCGAAAATAGTCCCAACCTAATCAGCTTCTCCCCATAGCTCAAACCATCTAATCTTGGCAACATCCTCCATAAATATTTTCTGAACCCTTTCTAGTTTCACAACATCCTTCCTATAGGAGGGAGACCAGAATTACATGCAATACATCAAGAGTGGTCGAACCAATGTCCTGTACAGCCACAACATGACCTCCCAACACCTATACACAATGTACTGACTAATAAAGGCAAAATATTACAATGAAAGATCTGTACTTTTTTATTCCAATCAATGAACTCACATATAAACAGCCAATTTGATGTGTTAGTCTATACAGAACATTTTGAAACTTCATCTGTAGCCAGTTTCCTTAGCCATTTTTGGTTAATCTGTCCTTTTTTCACATAATTGATTCTAGCATTTAGAGAATCATGGGCTCCAAAATCCTAAGCTCCCCACTCTGCTTCTGGACGCATGTTGACAAAAGCCTGCATACTCTTTTGGAAAGAAGTCCTACAGTCATGTAAAATTATTATTGGTCAAATAGAAGCAGTTGCGAATCCCATATGCAATCAGTTACTTAGTGCAGGAAAGCCCAGAAAGTTACACCAGGGAAGCTGAAGAAAGCAGAGTTCAATTCCCCAGTAAGATTTCAATGTCTGGATCAGGTTAAAGGGACCAAGTGACTGAAGAAAAAATAAAATCACCACAGAAATAATGGGCAATATGGAAGGTGGCAAGTTTAATGGCTATAGGCTATTAACCATGTACAGAATATTGACAACAAAATTACCATGGGAGGGAATTACATTTTTGGTCATGCTAACCAGAATAACTAAGGACGGTCATTTTCAAGAAAATTATATAGAAAAATTGTTAATGAAATTAAGTAAAGAAAGGAAATCATTCTTAGATCTGACAGTGTATAACAGCTATTACAGATGCAAAAGGTCAATGATAGTCAACGCACAACCATAACTCTAAAGACACCTTATAATAGATTAAAAAGTCTAGTGACGAACATGTTAGCAAGGTAAATAACTTGCTAACTAATTACCACAATCACCTTGGAGAGACTTTCAGAGAGAAACCATCATTCCCTGCACTATGGTCATTCACAGAACATACTGTACCCCAATAAATCTTTAACCAAGGTCCCCCACTCAACACATTAATACAACTTGAAAACATCTTTGTCCTTTTCCTCTCTCCAAGTTCCTTAGTTTTATTTTCCTGCATATTGTAAAAACAGGCAGTTATTTAGATTGGAGGTCAAAGAATGCTGCTGATATTTCTCCTTTTTACAAATAGTTTACAGGAGATATTAGCACACAACTGAGAGAAGAGCAGATGGTTAGGTTACCATTGTCCAGAAACATAACTTGTCCAGACACATAACTTGTCCAGCCATATAAACATTGTGGACACAAGACCAGGTCAGAGACTGGACATTCTGCAATGAGTTACCCATCTCCTGACTCCCCAAATCCTGCCAACCGTCTACAATGCACAAGAAAGAATGCGATGAATCCTCTCCAATAATCTGGCTGATTGCAGTTCCAGCAATATTCAAGAATGTCAACACAATTCAGATCAAAGTAACCTTCTTGACTGGCAATCCATCCACCACCTTAAGTATTCACTCCCCCACTGATGCACAGTGGCAGATGTGTGCACTGTACACAAAATATACTGCAGCAACGTTCCCAGATTTCTTTAACAGCACTTTCAAAACCCATGATTCCTACCACCAGAAGGACAAAGGCAGTTACACATTGGAACACAACGTCCATTAAGCTCCTGTCCAAACCTAACACACTTCTGACTTGGAACTATATTGCTGCTCCTTCACAGTCACTAGGTCAAAATTGTAGAATTGTGTTCCAAACAGGACTATGGGTATACCCATATCACAGACTGCAGTGATTCAAGAAAGCAGCTCACGAATACCTTCTCAAGGATAACTAGGGTCAGGCAATAAATGCTAACTGGTCAGCAATGCTCCTCATGAGGAATGACTTCAAAAAAAAGCTCAAAGTCTTCAAGCATCCAGTCCTTAATTAACCAGGAGGAAAAGACAATCGGAATAGTGGGCATTAATGTCTGCTTCCCAAACTGTGAGAATGGAAGAGTTTGAAGATCCTGGCTCAGAACTGGTTTGTGATGGCCAAGGAATATATTCAAACTTTGATTATGGAAACAGATAAAGAAAAATATGTTTGCCTAAAGCTGAAAAGTAAGATGAGGATATTAACAGTGACAGGAGACCTCTAATAAGTTTTGCTTTATCTTTTATATCCTCAGAATAAGCAAGCAAAGAAATAGCTGATGATTGGATACCAGCCGATCTAAATCTGGCACTGGTTGCAGACACTAACTCAGCCATCACTTTCATTCTCACGTGCTCACCATCCCAGATAGAATCACTAGAAATTTCTGAAATAGTTTGGATGAGAAAATGTTACTGGGAGGGTCACTAAGTACAAGGAAGGCAGACCAGTTAAATGGGGAAGGCAAACCAGAAGATCTGGGCTGCACCCAAACTCCTGACCCACTGTAACCTCCCTAATCCCAGGAAGTAAATGTATGTGGAATTTACCCCATAGGAGGAGGCCATTCACATCATCATACCTGTCTCTGTTACTCCTAATGACTGCCATTGAAATTGCCTCTTCTTAATTTCTTTTTCCTCCATTCTTTCTTTATACTCTCCCCTTTCCTTAACGGGCTGAATTTTCCCATTTTCAAATAAAGCATTTTGTTGAGTGAGAGTCATAGCACCTAGTTGGCCACGTCTCAGCGGATATTTTTCACATGCTATTTCCGCTTTTCAATAATTATGCAACTGGGCTCTCGGGTGCGTTTCTTGGAGAATTGTGTGGGAGATGTTCATCACTTCTAAGATGTTCTGGCATTCACACCTTGGGTGTCCTATATAATGCTGAGCTGCATATTATTTCAGGTGCTACAAGCCAGGAATTGTCCTCACATGACTGTTATTAAGGTCATGTCCTGGAGGAAAGGAAAACTTGCCTCCTGCTCTGCGGACAGGGACCTGGAGATGTTGGTGGGCAGCGTGCTTTTATGTTTTATGGTCTTACTTACTCAGGACACCTCACTACCACTCCTGTCGCTGTACCACCAGTAACTGCTCTTCCTTCCACTTGTATCACGATCAAGCTGTCCCTTTGTCTCATTTTATGAAAAATTGTCCCACTCCCCAAACTAATGTCACCATAGCAACCTGAGAGATTTAACCCTAATCCCAGGACTAGTTGCACTTGACCTGCAGGACAGATTGTGGTCCAATCTCCAGACTGCAAGGTTATGGATCCCCAGACTCTAATTGGATCAAGTGCCTGACTGACTATTGCCAACCCTTGGACTAGAATAGAATGAGCCTTGTTACACACTGTGGCAGTACCTTATGGCTGGCTTTAGTCCCCTTCACCCCACTAATGCACGCTCCCCTTTGACTTTTACACATGGTCATTTGCTTGATTCTCATGCAATGTGTTTGCCATGTAAGTGGTATGATGTTGATTTAGCATGGTACTTTACAGAAATATACCCACACCCTTAACTTTTCAGTGCTCCCCGCCATGGCAAGCTGCCTACCTCTTCTTCTGCACTAAAAAACACACAAGTCACAGATGCTGGCTTCCTGCAGCTGAGCACTAACCCTGCATGTTAAGAAAACAATGTGACCAACAGAGAAGTAGTGCAAAGTGAATATGTGCTAAAAAAGGAAGCTAACAGTCATAGGATGCATTCTGTGTATGAGATGCACGTTTGCACTTGCAGAGACCTGGCAGAAGCAAGGCATAAATTCCTCTGCTCCAAAATGAAGTGTTTAAGTGCTGAACCTACAGTCTCAGCCACTTATCTGAAAATGGCAAGTAAAATCTTTAAAAAAGAGCAATTATGTAAGTTATACAAAGCCATATTAAAGATATTTTATTACCTTAATATAAGAACCATGTTCATCATCAAAGCAAACGTTGCGCTGTTTCTCAGGAGAACATTCAAACTTTTTGGCATTCAAACCAAGGAACCAGATTTCTTCATAATTTAGAATTTCTTTGCATTCATAATTTGTCAATCCATTCTTAAAATGCATCAGAGCTTCTATTCAAATAGGACAAAAAAGACAGCAGTAGATTTTACAGCTGACTTTCCTCCAAATGGATTTTAAGCAAAAGTATTTTTTACCCTATAATTTTTGATGAGGTTCTGCATAAGAAATTATCAGAATCTGAGAACTTGAAGATAACTTTGAGCATGGGTTAATAATTGGTTGAGTGGTCAGAGGGAGGGATAAACGAAAAGTTAACATCCATATTTGCAAGTGACAGTAAATTAGAATAGCAACCTAGGTAGATGGGAGCAAGATATTACAAAAGCATATAAAAAGATTAACCCAGTGGGCAAAACAGAAAAGTGAAGGTCAAATGTGGTTTCAAATTGCATCCAATAAACCCTTTTCTTTCCTAAATGGTGAGGGTCTAGAGCCTGTAGAAAAGCAATAGGATTTTCTAGTCCAAGCTCACAAATTGCTAAAATCTAGCTCACAAGTACAAAAGGTAACAAAAAATCTTTGATAATATCTATGATCTGTGATCTATGATTAGGGGTGCAACTTGTGTCTTTTTGGTTAAGTCCAAATTGCATCAGTATTTTTTGCAGGGATTCTTGCCATGAAGCCGAGCAAATTTTCTTGCCATATCTGACCAGACTCACTTCAGTTCTAATCTACCACACCCCTATGGTGTCCCTCACATCCGATTCAATCCCCACCTTATCACAGTCTTGTTCCTGGGACAACTCGTCACTGCTGGGATATCCTGCAATTGACCCAAGCAGCTAACCAATCATGTCCAAGCCTCTGGACTGGTATTGGAGGCTCTTGACTTACTGAGCCAAGATCCCATGAGCAGAAGCTGTCCCTGTTGACTTGACTGAGGCCTACTGACACCATGCCAAACTTCCTACCTTTGTGTCTGCACTGACTGGCAAGGCAAGACAGCAGGGGTGATCTAAGTATCCAGGTAGGGTTCAAGTGAGCGAGCACTATGGAAGTGAGTGAAAAGCCTGGAGATGCAGTCTGGTCCAGTCCTTGAGTTCAGTGTGTATCCCAGAGTGCACAGTGTCCTGGCTGTTGCATTACAATGGTAATTGCCAGTGCAGCACTGAAGTGCAGAAACATTCTATGAGTGGATCAGAAAAGTGCCATGAAGGTTCTTAGAGACTGGAGTGTATTTGTTGCCAATGTTCAAGGAAGTGCGGTGCATGTGCCGGCGCCTATGGAGCCTGCCCACAGTCCACCAAGAAGGTCCTTTGAAGCAAGTGGCAAGCAGTATTCGCCAGCTACCTGCTCTAATTTCTATTCTCTCAGCATCTAGCTTGTTTGTTGTGTTTATTCAGGTAGGGAGCAGAATGCTTATGAGGCAAGTTGGGCCATTAACAAGGCATTTAGCAAACAAAAAACCCATTTAATTGGCAACTCACCACTGCCTAGCAAGAAACTTGCCGTGCTGTTTGTCAAGAGCGTAAAAGATGAAGCAAGATGCTCCTGACGTCAAGTTAGACATCATTATACTTATTGTCCAATTCTGCCACAAATCCCATCATAATCCACGTCACTAAATTAGACTGAGCCACTAATCGCTGACCTATATTAAGAGTCATTTTTATATCACACTTGGGACAATGTAAATTTTTATGGTGGGTTGGAGGAGCAATTAATGCCAAGAAATTACTATGAGAAAAATAAAGTTCATTTGACTAAAAGGTGGCTTTGGTTTTGGCTTTGGCTAAACTTTCTGCAGTTATCAAATACATAAGAAGGTCAATTTTAAAGGCAAGTAGATAATAGGTGGACAATGTGGCCACACTTGGTGATTGCACATTATTGATGGTGTCAACCCAGAGCCAAGTCAATAGCAACTGCATGATTTTTCATCATGTTGTAATGATAGCTGTTGTCATTCAGTTTGTGTGTGTGAAAATTTACTCAAAATTGCAGTTGGGTTCTGTCATAGAAAAGATTAATCGCTTAATAACTGCACACAAGCTAAAATAAAAGGGAGACTCTCTTCATCTGTCTCCACACCCCTGCAGCAAACAGAACAAGTACTGTAATATTGCTGTTAAGTATCGTACCTTCAGGTGTCATTGGCAGCTTGAAACCTTCGAAGATCCTCCCTTTATTAGATTTCTTTGCATGGACATTACAACTGGTCTCTGGCTGATTCTCCTTTGAGCCACATTGGATTATCTGCCGCAGATCATTGCCGTCAGTGTTCACATCCTAGTACAAAGAAAATAATGTTATTTTTCTTTTTTGTCTAAATGTTTTTGTTGACTGGTGCATTATCAGCATTTTTATTGTTGAACACTAAAAAGTGCATCTATTGCTCTGTTTCACTATGTAAAAAGTAAATTAATCTTGTTTGAAACATCATGACGCAGCACAGGGACAGGTGGAAGTTGAATTTGGAAATTCTAGCCCACTAACATTGCTGAAAAGCCAGAAGGTCTGGGTTCAAGCCCCACTTTTGCCAGACTTATGCCATAGCATATCTGAACAGAATGATTGAAATACCTACCTCAAATTTTGTTCTTATGCATTCACAGGATGGGGGCATGGTTGGCTGGGCCAAAATTCACTGCCCATGTGAGTCAACCACGTTGCTGTCAGTATGGAGTCACATGTAGGCCAGACCACGTAAAGATGGTAGTTTAAGATAACGAAGTGTGGAGCTGGAGGAACAGTCCAGGCAGCATCAGAGGAACAGGCAAGCTGACATTTTGGGTTGGGACCCTTGTTCAGAAAGGATGGTAATTTCCTTCCCTAAGGGCATTAGTGAACCAGATGGGGTTTTCCTGACAATTGACAATGGCCATCATTAGACTTTTAATTCCAGAATTTAATTGAATTCATATTCAAGCATCTGCCATGGCAGGATTCGAACCCGGGTCCCCAGAACATTACCTGGGTCTCCGGATGAATAATCTACCAATAATACCTCTAGGGTATTACCTCCCCATATAGTAACTAATAAGACTTTCTTACCATCTGATGGGTATTCAATTAAATTAGCGAGTTGCAATGGATACACTCTGCCATGTTGCATGAAAAACAAAACAAACAATCTGATGGAATATTTCAATATTATTTACATTTGTTGGCATTCACATCCTGTAATCTTCTACTGCCCTCACAACTGCTTCTTCCTTTTACTGCTGCTGTGCTTCAACAGGGTACTTTGTCAAGCTTCCTGACATCCTCAGAAACTTTCAGCTTATGAGGTGAAGCACACACTAGAGCGCTGACACTCATCTTGCACGAGAGCTGGCAAACAACCTAAAAGCAGCTGTAAGAGCAGGAGGAGATCCTGCGCACTGCGAATTCTGCACCAATGCAGTAGATATCACAGGCAGAGGGAGGGCATTCAACATTGGAGATTGCCAAGCTGAAACCAGGCACTGTTTGAAGTTTCATCATCTGCCATTTCCATTCTCTAATTGATGGTGCCTACAATAAATTACTCAAAAACCACGTGTGCCAGACACTGAGAATCACACTAGAGTTGTAATTAGTGTCTAAACACTTACATAAGTAACAAACATGACAATCTATTTTAAAATCTTTGTGAGCAGAGAATATTCCTGCAGTAGACTGTTCTTGGATGTTTATTGATATAAGAATCAATGTTCATCTTTGGGCGGATGCAGGTTATTGGAAAGTAAAAGGCCCATGGGAGATGTTAGACCTGACGGTTAAAGCAAAGTGATGAAATCCATTTCTTGGTGTATCCTATTGTACTGAGAAAGCCAACTATCTGTGAATTGTAACATTCTGAGCACACCGCACTCAGTCCCAAGAGTTGGTAGGTGCCTACATTCATTTCTGCCAATCAATGGGAGAGGGGCTTATTGCAAGGTTTTCAATGGGTCACTCTGGATGGTTTGGTGACTAAAGAGGATTTTAAAGGTTGCAGGCAGTGAATGAGCATGTAGGAGAGACACAAAAGCAGATTCCATTTCAGGAGTGCTGCAGTTAACTTCTGGAAAGGTAACTGATCTGTACAGATGTGTGTAGGGGACTCAGTGAGGGGGTCAAGAGCAACTGGGTGGATCTGTGCTGTCAGAACTCAGGAAGAGGTTTTAAGAGATGATTAGGTAGCTGGGAAGCAGAGAATGTGGGATGGTCACTGGTTTTCTGTTGGTGGGAGTCATGAGGGGTTTGGAAGAAGCCTGCACACTTCAGTGCAGCTGAGAGAGTGAGGTTTGAAAATCTCACAAGCAAGATTTGCTTGATGCAACTGAGCAAGATTAGAGCTTGGGCAAAAACCCTGAGGAAGACTTGTTTGATGAAGTAAGCTGTCAGTAAAAGCTGGAGTTATGCTGTGTAAGAGTACTAGAAAATAGGTTCAGAGAGTAGGGGAACAAACATCCATGAGAGAGGCCAATTAACCAGAATAGGAGCAATTGTTAAGGCAGTCCATTATATTGCAGTTCCTGAGGGGAACTTCAAAGCTAGATTAGCTGAAGAAAAGAATTAGAATTGCTGAAGTGGAATTAGATATTAATGTGACATTGATGTGTTGGGCATGGAGAGGTTGTTGAGAAATCCATTGGATTTGACTTGATTGCACTTAATACTTGCCATGTGTTGTGGGATGTTCAATCACAGTCTATTACCCATACTTACCACATATTTGTTCTGGATGTGTAGTAATTGTAACAAGGTCAACCAGGTGAATCTCATAGGAGTTCCCTGATTGGACCAGATTAACAGCCCCAATCAAGGAACCCTGGCTGACAAATAAGCACAGGAGTGTCAGACATCCTGTTCACTCTGAAAGCTGGCTCTAAGGGAGCTGGATCAGTGTCAAGGACTATTCATGTGTAAATAAAGTGTGACTTGTTGATGGGATAGGGGCCTCTGTGCAGTTATTTCAGGATGTTAGAAATTAGTTGTACATTTATTATCACCTGTCAAGCTATCAGAAGTCTCAAATGTTCTCGCCTTGCCAATGTGCACTGCTGCTTGTCATGTATGTCCTTTATGTTAGTTCATATGACTGTATAAGCATTCAAATTAAAGAGAAGTAGATCATGCACTCCTCAATCCTTTTAAATGACAGAACAGGATCGTGGCTGATCAGTTTTTTCTTTGATTTCTCATTTACCCCCTGATAACTTTGGTTCCCTTGCCAAATAATAAGAATCTATCTGTCTTCAAAATATCCAATGACCCCCACCTCCACCATCTTCTGAGGCAGAGAATTCCAACACCTCACAGAGGAAAAAAACCTCCTCATATCTGTTGTAAAAGGCAGCTCATAAATTTAGAGGAGGGACAGATGATGGAATGAAGAAACTGACAGCAGTCTCTGAGAAGATAAACATCTTGTGAAGTCTTGGGTGTTTTTTTTCAACAGGTGGAACAATAGAAACATCTTGAATAGGTGTGGTCAAGCTCCCACAGAACCAGGGATTTTTAGTTTTTAATTTTTAGTAGCAGTTGCCGTTGGAGTCTTGAAGAGGTGGAAGCTAATCTTTTGACCCTGTCTTGGATACAGTCAAAAACTAGGATTTCTCTGCCTGCTACAGAAGCTGCATGTGAGACAATCTGTTTTCTGAATTTGCCTTTTTGACAAGGGTGAGTTTATGGGATGTTACTATATTGGAACAGTTAATTAATAATAGTTACTGCATCAATCACTCTGTTAAGTTTTCCAATAGAGTTGTTATTCCAATTCCTTGTTTCTTTTGTTGTATTTTAAATATAGTGTTTAAATAAATTGTTTTGCTTAACGTCAAGTAAATTGACCAATCGAATTGCATTTGGAACACAGCACCTCACATTTCCCTTTAAGATACGAAAATGTTCAGGTCTGGACTACCTTCTTAATATATTTTGAGGACGGCTGGTCTGGTCCATAATGCATTAATGTGGCAGCAATAGAGTATCCTTCAAAAACAAAGAATGCCAGTGTGCTTAAAATATAGGTGAACACTTGCCACACAATTATAGTGTTTTTTTTCTCTGTAATATTGCAACAGGCTTAGAGCTAAGGCAATTTGCAAAAGCCACAAAGTGCAAGCACACTTACCGTGGCAATCTTTTAGAGATCAATAAACATTTTCTTTATTCATCTCACAACTGGAGTTCACATCAAATGCATTTGCCCCTCCTGTGACCTCTGTCCAGGTTATTGTGGCATTCTCTTTAATGGAAGGGTCCTCTTATAATGAAAATAGCAGCACCCTTATTTGGAGCCCTCCTCCAAAGCTGCAATCTGAAAAGATGCACTTTGTCATTCCATTGGTGGAGCAATTTTTTGATTGTCAGCAGCAGGACAGCTTTATGGGTAAGGTCAAATACCCTTTAAGAGTTGCTGGTCAGCTCCAAGTCATTTATGGGTTATGCATTAGAAACAGTAAATGACACTTACTAGTTGGTTTCATTTTACCATGAAAGACCAACTAACAGTCCAAAAGATTCATGTGTAATGAGTTTTTTTTTTCTTTATTCGTTCACAGGATGAGGGCATTGCTGGCTAGGCAGCATTTATTGCCCAGAGGGCAGTTGAGAGTCAGCCATATTGCTGTGGGCCTGGAGTCACATGTAGGCCAGACTAGGTAAGGATGGCAGTTTCCTTCCCCAAAGGACATTAGAGAACCAGGTGGGTTTTTCCCCAACAATTGGCAATGGATTCATGGTCATCATTAGACTCTTAATTCCAGATATTTTTGTTTGAATTCAAATTCCACCATCTGCCATGGGATTCAGACCTGGGTCCCCAGAACATTATCTGGGTCTCTGGATTAACAGTCCAGCAATAATACCACTAGGCCATTGCCTCCCCACTGTTAATGTGGTGGGAAATTAGAATCAATCAATTTTTCTACTTTTCACAATTTTTAAACAGAAAACCACAGCTTGAATATTGAATCAGAGATAGTAGGAACTGCAGATGCTGGAGAATCCGAGACAACAAGGTGCAGGGCTGGATGAACACAGCAGGCCAAGCAGCATCATAGGAGCAGAGAGGCTGACGTTTCGGGCCTAGACCCTTCATCAGAAAAGGGGGAGGGGGAGGGGAAGGGGGTTTTGAAATAAATAGGGAGAGAGTGGGAGGCGGATAGAAGAGGGATAGAGGAGAGGAAACAAACAGGTCGAAGAGGCGGGGATGGAGCCAGGAAAGGTGAGTGTAGGTAGGGAGTTAGGAAGGGGATAGGTCAGTCCAGGGAGGACGGACAGGTCAAGGGGGCGGGATGAG